AAATGATGCGTTTGCTTTCCCATCGATCGCTTCATCAGCAACCAGCCTCCTCTCTTAGGTAGTCTGCTGTCAGGCTTTGAACCTGTGAACAGCTGCATAGAGGGGTGGGGGTGAGGGCCCTGACGTGGCGTTGCCTGCCCCTCCCAAGAAGGACTGCGGTTAGGAATTGTGAATGTATACAATGGTACAACATGACTTAGCTGTAATTTCCAAGTTCACACCCACCCCTGATTCACAGGCAGGGTCAGGAGTACTTTTTACCGAGCACAGTTTTAGCAAACCCGGAGTGAGCGAGGGGCTGAAGACATCTGAAGGGTGAACAGTCTTCTCCCTCTCCCTTTCTTTCCCCTCTTCTGCCTGTCTTCCCATCAGCTTTTGTTTTAAGTGATCATCACAATTAACTGGCGCACCATCGGGTTCTTTTGTGTGACTGTGGGAAAAACAGATAAACAAACAAACAGAGAGTCCGGGCGGAGCAGAGAATCCGACCAGCCGTTGCTTTAGGGATCGAATTTTTGGAAGCATTGTCGAGTTCGACTTATTTTTGTTGGTAAATCCCGGGGAAAAAATTGTATATCTTTTCCTTTAAAGTTCTAATTCAAGGCATGGATGTGAGAGTTCTGAAGGGACTTTGGGACTGCGGTAAAATTTCGTTGTCATAGTAACAGAAAGGGAAATAGGCCTCGCTCACCTGGGACTTTAACACTGCACAAGCTGGATTATTCTTTCTTTCTTTTCTTTTTTAAGGAAAAGGACTCTGCAAGTGAAATAAATGAAAAGCTTATTGTATGTTGATGCCAACATGTTAACATTAAATATGTAAATTGCCCAAAGGGTGCTCCGGCCATTTTGCCCCTGGCTAATGTCATTGTCTGATAGAAGATGTCCACTTTTCAAACGACACAGATAGGTTATTTAGGAGAACAGGGACTTTGAAAAGAGAAACGAGGACCCCAATCTGTGACTCTGTACCCCAGTGTTTTTGTCCTGTGGGGGTGTGGGGTGGTGGGGTCCATGGGCAGCTGGAACGGAGATAAGCACTTGTGATTAGCCATCAGGTCCCAGGAGCGCCCTGTGAAGACTGGTTTTGTATTTGGGTGGTAACAGAGAGTTTTCTGATTTTATATAAGCTGGTTGTGAACATCAGGGGACCTTTGTGTGTGAGGGGAGACGCGTGTGTGGCCGGAGGAAAGCCTCATGCGTGATAAACCCTGGGTTTCTGGGCTGTCAGGCCATTTTTTAACCCTGGAGCAAGACATTTTTGCATGGCAGGGGTCCCTGCTGTTCCCCAAGCCCTCCTCTGAGAGAGGGGCCCGGCATTGGTATCCCCGTATCTACAGGGCCCTGTACAAACCAGGAGCCCAGCTTGTGAACCACTTAACAATCCCAACAGTGATGGAGAAAGGGGGGCTCTGACTGGCGATTGAAAACATCCAAATTGGTGAATTGCAAGGGGTCAGCAATGCGCTTTCACAGGCGTGGCGGGTTGAAATTCCCCAGACCTGAAATACAATCACTTTCAAATCAAATCTAATAGAATGCAGATATAGTCTCCCTTAAACAAGGTTTACTTTAAAAATGTAACACATTGCTTTCTCTTCACAGATTCTTTTTAAAATTTTTTCTCAAGTGCAATCAGAATTGTTTGAAAACAGCCGGGAACCCCAGGGACATGAGACGGTTTCAGGTAAGGGGCCTGCAATTCTTTCTTCCCCGTTAAATAAGTTATCCTGTTTTCTCTCTCCCTCTCCTTCTTGTTCTTTCTGAGGGATATAGCTCGGGGTGTGTGTGTGTGTGTGTGTGTGTGTGTATACATATATATGTGTGTGTGTGTGTGTGTGTGTGTGTATTCACGGATACTGCCACCAATCAAAAAGATGACTGTGAATGATAGCCCTTTTCCGAGGGTGTTGAAGGCCTCGTCATTTTGTAGCATTTAGGCCTTCTGCCTCCACTATCCAATCCCCACGGGGAGAGGCACCAACCCTGCCGCCCGAGGTCTGATTTTTAAGCCCCGAGGCTGCCCTGCGCACGCACAGCTGCCCACGGCAGGAACTGTCTTCTTGCTATTCAAGCCACCTTGGGATCTTTCAAAGCGGCTTCCCTGTGCTTTCTCCGAAGCAGCAGCACCCTCGGTCCGGCCTTTTCCCCCCTGAGTTAGTGGGCCCTTTTTGGAGCCTCTGGAAAGCAGCGGCCCAGACAGCCGTGGTCACTTTAAGATCGCAGCATGGCAACAAGACCCAGGGGACTGTGACCCAGCTGCCTGGCAGTTAAATCTGCCACTAGTTTCATCACCCTTGCCACTGATGTACTGAGAATACGAGCTAATAAAAACACGAGCGAGGCAAAGTGTGGCAGCTTGGAGATGAGAGGAAGGACGGCCCCCTCTCCGGCGCCTTCTTTAATCTTTGAAGGACCCGTATTTAATTCTCCAAATGGCTTTGCGGCTGCTTGTAACCTAACAGGCCAAACGCATAAGACCACCTTCTCCATCGAGAGTACTTCAGCTCACGTCTAGGGAGAAGGGACCCCCGATTGCCCAGAAGTGACTGGCCGGGCCTTTCTTCCGACGCGCCTTGCAGAAGACAGTAGTCTTCAAGTCCTTACAATGTTTCTGCCTCGCTCAGGGACAGTGAAACATTAGAACCCTGTTAAACAATAGTACTCGAGCCAAACATTAAAAACAAAGCACCTCTAAGCAACAGGGGCGATGGGGATTGTAAGACCTGTGCTTCATGGGAAACAAAGGAGGGTCCTGGAACTTACTCGATTTGCTCCTACCCACCGGGAGCCAGAAAGATCTGTGCGATCAAACCGATTCCCGGGCATGCTGCTCGACCGTGCCGTCAGAGGAATGCCTTGTTGCTGCCTTCGGGGGATTCTTTCTCTGTGTTATGATTCTGGTGAATTTGAGGTTGTTGAGGATATGCATGAAGACACCCCAACCCCACATTCACCACGTGTACAGAGATGAGCTTCGGTTTCTTCAGGTTGGGCAACATTTTCATTCTCCTGGTCTGCTCGGTGCCTCCCCCTTTCACATAAACTCACTGGCCCTCTAGGTAGTCTTTAAAAGAGCACAGGGCTCAGGGCTGACATTCTTAAACCTTTTTGCATGAAAGAACTCATGCTTCCATTACGTACTGGGCTCCACACATGATGTGGCCAGTCCCACTGTCGGTCAGAGAGCTTCTGCCACTTTGCCAGCGTCACCTAGTTGGTCAAGAGCAGAGCCATTGAACCCGGGAATTGGGGGGTGTGGGGGGTGTGGCAGGGTCGCAGACATACAGCCAGGGAGAGCTGTTTTGACAAAGATCCCTGCTGTGTTTGTGCTGCGTTGTGGTTATCAAGCCATCTTGCCATGCCTGGGGATTTTCTTCTTTTTCTGTTACAGTATGTGAGTTAAACTACAATGACCAGGCTCCATTTGTAAAGTGAAACCATTCTTTTCTATGATGTAGGTTGTTCCTCCTGTCTGTTCTGAACACGTCCTAGAAATGGAGTCCAACAACCAGTGACCTGTTGTGGCTCCTTGCACTTAATATAATGCTTTCAGAGCTCATGCATGTTATATGTAGTCTGTACCTGTTCTTCCTTCCCTGTTTTTGACTGAATACTATTCCAGAATGTATGGATATACCACTTTGGATGATCCATTCATTAATAGGTGGACGTTTGATCTGTCTCCACTTTTTCCTATTATGAATCCTGCTGCTATGAACATTCATGTGCAAGTTCTCGTGTGAGCATATGTCTTCCATTCTTTGGGGTGTATACCTAGACACGGCATCGCTGGGGCGGATGGGAATTCTATCTTTAACTTTTTGAGGAGCTGCCAAACTGTTTTCCACAGCAGCTGCACTGTTTCACATCCCAGCCAGCAATGCACCAGGGTTCCAATTTCTCTACATCCTCCCCAGTACTAGTTATCTTCCCATTTTGAAATGATAGTCATCCTAGTGGATAGGAAATGGTACTGAATTGTGGTTTAGATTTGCGTTTCCCTAATGACTAATGATGTTGCACAACTTTTCATGTGCTTATTGGCTGTTGGTGTCTTACCTGGAGGATTGTCTCTTCAAACTGCGTGCCCATTTTGTAATTGGCTTATTTGTCTTTTTCATTGTTGAGTTGTAAGAATTCTTTATATATTTAGGATACCAGACTCTTAGATGTTGAAGTTCCAGTTATGTCTCCCACTTTGTGAGTTGTCATTTTGTTCTTCAATCTATGCAGTAATTGGCCTTCTTTTTAATACTACACTTAAGATTCTAGCAGGAATTTAACTTTCAGTGAGAGCTCTTTGAAATGGAGAAGACTATACAGAGAAAGGTTTGACTGTGCTACACTGGGCAAATGAGAAACTTGGGTAAAGTTAAAAACATGAAATAAAACCACAGGTAGTTGGTAATGATGGGGGGGGGGGAGAGGGGATCTGAAGGAATGATAACTTTCAGGAATTCCTGGAATATACAAGGGGCTGCAAAAAGCTGGAGGCAAAATTCCCTTATCTTTTCATTTTAGTTCAACGCAAAATTTTTGAAGCCCCTTGTATATGTTCTTTGGAAGAACGAAGGCTGTCATGACCAATGTGGTCTTTCATACATGCAAAGTGAGGCTGAGAAGTGAGCCAATTGTCCAGATAATTCAGGTAACCTTGTTAATCGCCACCCATAGTTCTGTCTCAGTTACCTGGATATTCCAGGTAAAAGCATCTCAGAGCTTTCATTTGGCTTAACTCATAGAGTCAGTTACTTCAATTTTCCACTTTTGTTCTATCATCAGAGATTAATTTAATCCCAGGAAAAATTTTGTCAGGATTTGATCTGACAACTAGAAATACACAATGTTTTCATGCAAATCACAAATCTGACTACACTCTCCCTCCTCTGTCCCCAAACTCTGGTAGCACATGGATTCTTTAAAAAAAAAAAAAAGATTGATAATGAGATGATTTAATCCAATTTACTTTCCAGCTTGAACCCCTCTTTGATTCAGCACAAATCCTAAGTATCATAGGCTACCAGCGACATAAGACTTATCTACATACAATGAAGTTTTAACCCTCTTCTGGCCTAGTTTGCTGTGAGAATCTGATAAATGCTAGTTTCTGTCTTAATGAGGGTGGGGGGGCAATGGTGGGAAGGGGGAGGGATGGGACTCATTTACACAAAGTTTTGCTTAAAATTTCAAGAGTTCCAAGACCTGTTAAAGAAAGACTCTTAGCATTCTATAGATGGTAGATTAAGAGACTTTGACCTACAGAAACGGAATTAGTCTAATTCCAAATAGTCATCCTATATGTCATTTGACCACGTGATGAGGATCTGCCTGGTCATCTTTTCACTCTCTTAGCTTCAGATGCCTTCTCTTTCCAGATGATTCCTCGCTCCCACACTAAGCCTCTCTCCCACTCTGGGGCTGCAGACAAACTCAGAGAGCTCTACTCCCCTACTGGGCATCTCTGCTTGAATGACCAGTGAGCACATGTTTAAAGGAGAACTCAATACTTATTCCCTAATCTGTTCTCTTCCTTGGCAACCCAGCCCTCCTTTTTATTGCTAAAGTGTCACTTCTTTCTCTGAAGTATCTATTCAACCCATCTCTCTCTTGAGAGACTGTCCTGTGGTTCTCCCTGTCCTTGCCTGACATGCTCAGCACTACTTGCCTTTACAGCAACTCTGATCCGGTCCCACCCTGACTTAGATCCTGCCAGGAATAGTGACTGTCCACAGCGGTGGAGGAAGCATGCTGATGAGACATACTCAGTGGCCTCTGACTGGGTTACTCTTCTTCCAGACCCTTCTCCATAGATGCACCAGTGCTCCCTACTCACTTCAGGTTCCTATTACAGTCTGGACCCTTTCCACACCTCAGGCCACTCTGACTGAGACCCCTTCGATTCCCTCCAACTTGTGGTTATCATGCGTGCTTCCAAATTAAACCTGGGGGCCACCTCTTTTGTCAGGCATTTTCTGACTCTTCCTGGCAGGGCTACTGGCTCCCTCTTCTGCACCAGCATCACAAAACTGAATCCATAGTACCCATCTCATTGTATTACAATGATGGTTTGTCTTTCAGTAGACAATGAAGATAATTGGTATGTTTTTTTTCTTTCTTTCTTTCTTTTTAAACATTTTATTAGGGGCTCATGCAACTGTTATCGCAATCCATACACACATCAATTGTGTAAAGTGCTTTTGTACATCATTCTCAAAACATTTTCTCTCCACTTAAACCCCCGACATTAGGTCCTCATTTTTCCCCTCCCTCCCCGCTCCCCCCTCCCTCATGAGCCCTTGATAGTTTATAAATTGGTATTTTGTCATATCTTGCCCTGTCCGACGCCTCCCTTCACCCACTTTTCGGTTGTCCGTCCCAAAAAGAAAAGAAAAAGAGTCCTACCAATGTCTAGCATAACGCTATACAGTCCATCAAACTCAATGCATTGTTATTAAATACATTTAAGAGAAAGGAAGGAAAGATGGAAGTGAGAATAAAAGATTTCCAGGGCCCCAAAGGTATCTGAATCCATGGACCATGTCTGTAGAAAATCACTCCGGTCCCCCTTGAAAACAATTAGGTGAAACGCCCAGATTAACGACGCAATGAAGGGAAGGAAAATAAGTTTGTGTCTAGCTTAAGCTGACAGGCTTATTAAGATGCAATGAACCCCATTCTTTATTT